CCTTCCACCGACTTCTGTCCCTGGCCACTTGCATCCAGTTTATTCCAGCTTGTTGCCGGATGTCATCTGTTCATATTTTAGGCGCTCTTCCTCTGCCACGGGTGTTAACGAGGTCTCCACTCCAAGGCCTTGGCAACTTTGGCAATTCAATAAATGTGCGACGTCTTTAAATCTCACTTGACTGAAGTAACTCAACAGATCGGCCTATTTTGCTTTGATTCCAGATAAATAAAAAGAACAAGTTCCAAGAAAAGGAGTCGACGAAGTCGCTACAATTTTCCTGTTTCATAAAAAAAGTCTACTCATTTTGATAAATACAGAGCAACATGTTTATGTCACCATTTCGAGGTTACACTCATAATAAAAGTCGTTATCGATTTTCTTTGCAGTTATGTCAGCGTTTTTATCACGTTCAATAAATTACAGGATTGAATCTATCCTTGTTTATAATAATATCCTGTACGAAATACATTTATATTCTAAGAAAGATTGATAGAATTGAAATGGAATTCGATATGGGCCCTGTTTTTAAATGCATGCCATTTCGTAATTTAAAAAGGTTTATTACATCAAATTCAACGTCAACAACCAATCAACATGGCAGTTTCCCACAGCTCGTCATGTGGACATTGGTTGACCACGGAATGATTTATTGCCCATAATGCCCATCCCTCGACATTCGCCATTTGCCATCGAATAATAATTGAATTAACATTAAAATGGATTTGGACCCACTCATTGGAATCATTTCGAAAAGAACCAATGAGACAAAAGTATGAATCTATATTTATGAATAAACCTAATTGATGAATGTTAAATGAATTGAAACCAATCACAGGCTTGAATTATTCTCGAGCGCGTTCCATAATGAGGACCTAAATTAATTTTAGTTTAAGTTTGCCCTACCTCCTGTTTACCCTTACCGGAATACTACAAACAGTAAGTGCACATGCCTAATTGAAACAATCGTAGACGCGGCCATATTCGAGCTACCCCTTTGATCCCCATGGACTTACCGAGCATACGCTGTCAAAGGAAAATGGGCCAGGGCCTTACTGAAAATGAGATATCTCACGCCCGTAATCAAAGCTCAAAACTAGACTCAATTTTAGGCACAGATTGACTTTTTGATTGGTTGAATATTATAAAAACTCTTCTATTAATATTTCGTATTAAAAACGCCACCTTATAAAATGGTTAGATTAATATTAAAGACGTAAAAACATAATCGCAGTGTTTTCTTTTTATCATTTCAGTCATAGGACGTCCACTGTTGAACACAGGCCTCCCATATTGGCCGGTTGATAGCGGCCTGCATCCAGCGCCTGTCTACTATGTTTAACTATACTTATTACTTATACGACCTAATGCAAAAAGTTTTGATAAACTGACTCAAAATAAGATTAGGTAGACCACATACTTTCTCGATTATTTAGGAGATGCGAACTACAGAAGAAAAGATGGATTGATAAGTCGACAAAGACTGACTAAGATTGATGATTTCTATCAAACAACATACCGAGTGCCTAGGTGTACTAAGATAAGGCCAGGCAAATTAAGTATTATTCTATTTTTCCAAGGAAAATAAGCAATGTTTTGTCATAACCAAAGTAATGGAAAGATAGTCCTCAAATGTAGAGCTAAGCTTAAGTCGCAAAGGGTCGGCCATATCTGTCCCAAATCGACGAATGGTAGAAAACGAGTTCTTAAATGAAGAACACGTTTCAACGAGCGTAGTATAAGACATCTCCCATTCAACGGACCGATGACTTCGAGAAGATAGCTGGAAGTGACTGGGTAAAGATATCAGGACATAGTGATTTGTGGCGCTATTTGTATGCATTTGTCCAGCAGTGCACTATCATAAGTAGTCAAAGTACCTACGTAGTAAAGTATTTAAGTATGTTGTATCCGTTGTCTGCCTACCCATAGTTCAACCTTTGTTTAGTTTGGGACTAGATTGCGCATCGTAAAATGTCCAAGATATTAATTTATAAATTACTATTTATTCATAAGCTGGAATAATGTTAATTTAATTAGCATTTCCCATTCGCCCGAGGAACGGCCCTGTTTCCGTACGCGGTTTATACAATTCAGTACAAGCGTTCCTTACACGGAGTTGTCCCTGTTAATTCACGGAAACATAAAAGCAAACTTCAGCTATGAACTTGCACAGTTGTCGCCCATTTACTTAATATGTGGAGGAAGTTGTGAACAGAACAATAACTTGACATTGTGCAAGAGAACAATCGGCCGTTGAACTTCAAATCGTTGAAAAAAAGTAAAACTTTGATGTCGATTTCGTTAAATCGCTTTTTTATGTTATTAAACTTCCATTTCAGAGAAACAGCCAATATTTTTAACCGACTTCAAAAAATGAGGAGGTGTATGTTTTTTTTGTATGTGTATGTTACCGGCGAACTCCGTCAATTATGAACCGATTTCCAATTTTTTTTTGTTCGATAACCCTTTACATTGAAAATATTTAAAACTAAAATAAAGTCAGCGACAGTCGTTAACTTACCTACAGTTTAACTCAATAAAGAGGTAAGTTACAGGATATAAGCAAAAAACTTATTTCAAAAGATATTGATGTAGGTCAAGTGTGAAACACCGATTGCCTAGTGAATCCAATCGATCAAGGTAGGTATACATCCGAAGTTAGAGTTTGATAAGTAAGCCAGAGTGATTTATTACAAAACTGACAAAGTGCCAGGAACCGACAAACCGGCGTGATAAGCATCTTCAAGATTTTATTGGCACTCTCAACTCAGTAAAACAATATAGATAAGTAAAACGGTAGTCCTTAGGGCCTTTTTCCGAAAAAGGCACTTACAGTCTGTTTTACTTTTTATGAATAAATTATAAAGAAGCCTGTACCTAATAGAATTTCTCTCAAGTGAAGCGCTAAAATCGAAAAGGCATTTTCATCGATAAACAAAATCGATTTACGAGAAAAAGTTACAAAATATTTCTGCTAAGTTAGTTTGGTATGTTGATGAAATACCCCGGCAATATTACACCCGTATTCACAAACGATGCTTGCTTAAGTAAAACAGTTAATCGACCGCACAGCGTTGAACAGAGCTCGGTGATTGGTTGGTGTGTGAGATTTTGCGTCCACGCGCACTGTGAGACCTTCTGTAATGTTTGTGAATACGGGCATTAGTTATTTGAGTGGTGCCTAGACAGCCTGGAGATTTGTTTTGTGATTTATGGAACTTGTGGGCGTGAATGGAAATACAAATTCTATGAATATGAAACAAGATGAAGTAAGAAACATATCACCATGGCATATACCTACCGTATGAGGTTCTCCTGGACGCTACTACGAGTATACCTACTGGTTGAGCTAACTAGTAGTAGGTATTATTATTACTGTATAATATAGCCTTTCAATTTATATTCACAAACCAGATTCATGCTTACTGACCAATAATTCACATTTTTATTGCTTCTTTGAGAAAATAATTTTTTACAATATAATTTTAAAAATAAATGTACAAAAGTACATAATTATACTTTTAAATCTGAAATATCAGAAGGCTAAACTGACAATAATCTAATAATAATCTTTTAATTAGGTAAAGTCCCCTAAAGTAGGCCATTTGTTTTGAAAGAAAATGGCTAAGGTGAATGAAGTTACCTCTTATTCAACTACTTTTAGGTAATAGGCCACTTTTATTAGGCCTAATTAAATGTACTACAAATCTCAGAAAAGATCAAAGAAAATTATTTTTTTTGCTCTTCACTAATTCTACGAGTAAGTACTACTCACGCAAATAATAAAGTACCTAATTGTATTAATATAATATTCAATTAAGATTCTAATGTAGGTATCTTAAGGAAGAATAAAATAAGATTTAGATTTATTATTATGCTTAGTAGCTAGGGCTTCAGCTCAGTGTGTTTCACGCTTAATGAAAAATTCCAACATTTAGAGTAAAAGTTAGTATCATTGGAGCAAATTAACATTTACGTGTACACCCCAGCATTGCGCTTTAAACGTACGAACGACAACACATCTAATTAAATACTGTACCATCTTATACCGTTGTATTAAGTACTATTTTCGACAAGCAAGTATAATGTGCTGGTGACTGTATAGAATCAGAAAATACCATAAAGTCGAGTTTTCTGGATAAAAGCATTGTATCTAGACCTGTATGGTTGGCAGGCGTTTATTCTAATGAAAATAAATATCGTAAGCTCTCCTTTTTGACTGCGATGTAACATTATTATGCTTTTATGAAAGCTGTCCTTAAGCTTTTATTGAAATAACTTTTTTTGCCAGACAGCCATTTACTGCCGACGGAAAATATGACATCAGAGTTTTTATTAATGTTACGAATGTCGTTCGGTCTCGTACAAGTGATTCTCTTTGTATTTGCCAATCAAATTGATATCTTTCATAAGGGTCCAGAGGTTTTATCACGTATTTGTGTACTTAGCTTGGCCATGAAACGTTTTATTTGTTACGAAATTCCAATTTCACGTTAAGGAGAGTTATTTCAATTGAGTATTAGATTAACTTTTTGTAACACGTAAAATGTTTTTTCTTATACTAGTATACTCACTAAGAAAATGGGCTTAAAGCCCCCGATCGAAAGCAATTTGACATAATTATGGTATCTATTTTAGGTTCAGACAGCTTCCAGGTTTTTCTTGACATTTTTAAGTATCTACATTTTTTTTTGAACATTCAGTTCTCATGCACTTATTTTTCTAAATGACCTATTTAACACCATGACTGATGATTTCAGTCAATAGATACAGCATTTTTTTATTAAAGGAACTAAAACGGGTCTTTAATTTCCATAAAATGTTCATACTTTTAAAACTTTACACTCCAAGAAATCTTTGCGAAAATTTGTACAAAGGCTGTTGAATACTTGAAATAAGATTGCATTACATACGAGTGTACGAGTGTGCCGTGTGGGGACGGCCATAAAGAATACTCTTCCCCACCGCCAACAGGAGGCGTGTCGTAAGAGGCGACAAAATCCCTGCAGCACCGGACGGGCAGCAGCGTCTGCGTGCGAAACCTTATAAAAAACTGCGATCGCCAACCCGCCTTTCAAGCGTGGCGATTAAGGCAAATCCCCCCCATGGAGAGGAACAAAAAAACACGGCCCCTAGTCCCCGGCGGCCCCACTATCCCGGGCCACGGTAGCGGTCACGGTAACGGTGGGGCGAGGGGTGCTAAGAATCACCGGGTACCGACAGGCTACCAACCCCGACGACCTCTGGCCCTGGCAACATTTAACACTCGCACGCTGCGGACTGACGTGAGGCTCGCCGAACTCGAGGAAGAACTGAGCAGGTTGCGGTGGGATATCGTAGGATTATGCGAAGTCCGAAGAGAGGGGGAGGACACCATAATCCTGAAATCCGGAAACCTGCTCTATTTCCGGGAGGGCGACCAGCAGTCCCAGGGTGGTGTCGGGTTTATCGTCCACAAGTCCCTTGTCAACAACGTGGTCCAGATCGAGAGTGTTTCGGCGAGGGTAGCGTACCTTATACTCAGAATCACCAAACGGTATTCGCTGAAGGTCATACAGGTATACGCACCGACCACGGAACACCCCGACGACGAAGTGGAGACTATGTATGAGGATATTTCCAGAGCCATACATAGCTCCCGGTCCCATTTTACCGTTGTGATGGGGGACTTCAACGCGAAGCTGGGTAGACGAAGCGATAATGAGCTGAAAGTGGGGCAATTTGGGTATGGAGAGAGGAACGCACGTGGCCAACTGCTGGCTGGCTTTATGGAGAGGGAGGGCCTCTTTATGATGAACTCCTTCTTCAGGAAGCCAAAACAGCGAAAGTGGACATGGCTGCATCCCAATGGCGCTATAAAAAATGAGATCGACTTCATCTTGTCGACGAAGAAGCATATATTCAATGATGTCTCTGTGATCAACTCGGTCAAAACAGTTGTTGACAATTATGTATACCTGGGACAAACAGTCCAGTTAGGTAGGTCCAACTTCGAGAAAGAGGTTAATCGTCGAATCCAACTCGGCTGGGCAGCGTTCGGGAAGCTTCGCGAAATTCTCACGTCCGAAATACCGCAGTGTCTCAAGACAAAAGTATTTGACCAGTGTGTGTTGCCAGTGATGGTGTATGGCTCTGAGACGTGGTCGCTTACTATGGGCCTCATAAGAAGGCTCAAGGTCACCCAAAGAGCGATGGAGCGTGCTATGCTCGGAGTTTCCCTGCGTGATCGAATCAGAAATGAGGAGATCCGTAGGAGAACCAGAGTGACTGACATAGCCCGCAGAATCGCTAAAATCAAGTGGCAGTGGGCGGGGCACATAGCTCGAAGAGCTGATGGCCGCTGGGGCAGGAAAGTTCTTGAGTGGCGACCACGAGCTGGAAGACGTAGCGTGGGCAGGCCTCCCACTAGGTGGACCGACGATCTGGTAAAGGTCGCGGGAAGTACCTGGATGCAAGCGGCGCAGGACCGGTCTTTGTGGAAATCCTTGGGGGAGGCCTTTGTCCAGCAGTGGACGTCTTTCGGCTGAAACGAACGAACGAACGAACATACGAGTATCAAAAATGGTACTGTACGTTTTATACGCACTTATTTACAAAACTTATTTTCTTTTAATAAACGCTGATAAAAGTGAATGAAAAAAAAGTGAAAGTGGGCATTGCTAGTACTTTATACTTACTTATTATTGCTATCTGTTTTCAATTTTAATTTATCTTTTGAGCAATTCTATACATTAAGTAGGTACCTACCTAGTTTGTCGACTTCACCGTTTCGAATTTAGCTTTATTTAGACTAGGAAAATCGAAATAAAATGAGTAACAACCTCCAAAAACCATTATTAAGCGTTGTGAGGCAAATTAAAAAATACCTTAGAATTTACGGTGAATGGAAATTTCTTCGTTTTGTGTTTCATAAGACCTTCGTACCAGTCAGTTATTGGGTAAAATTACAGCGTTTTCTGTTTGAACAAAGCAGGGGATGGTTAAGTTACATTAAGATATCATGTCTCTCGCCATTGTTCACTCGCATTGGTTGTGTATGAGAATCTGTGTCTAATAATTATCGTTCGTTTCAGCCAAATGACGTCCACTGCTGGACAAAGGCCTCCCCCAAGGTTTTCCACAATGAACGGTCCTGCGCTGCCCGCATTCAGGCTCTTCCTGCGACCTTTACCAAATCCCTAGACCTAGCTACCAGAGACCTAGTAGGAGGCCTGCCCACGCTACGTGTTCCAGCCCGAGGTCGCCACTCGAGAACTTTCCTGCCCCAACGGCCATCGTTCCTACGAGCTATGTGCCCCGCCCACTGCCACTTGATTTAAGCAATTCTGCGAGCTATGTCGGCTACTTTGGTTCTCCTGCGGATCTCCTCATTTCTGATTCGATTACGCAGGGAAATTACGTATGCTTTTTATGAAATAACAATTTTTTGGAGTTTTATAAGAGCCAGTACAACGCAAGACTAGCCCAAAAGCCAAGAAAAGCCCACTAGGGGTGTGTAAGAAGGGATACTACTAAAGGGACGGGAACTAAATTGACGTATTAAGGGTTAAACGATTTTACGGGTAATCCGATATTTCCGTGACCGGCTTAAAGATTTTGGGAACGTGTAACGAAACGATTGGATTCTATTACGATGGCTGTCCCGACAGACGTTTTCCTGTCTTAAGAAAAGTTGAAAATGATCGTTATTTCTTTAATTTTCTTTTCTTATAGAAATCGGTCCAGCCGTTCACGCCTAATGGCCAATGACAGGTCGCGCGACCCATGACAGTTCGCGCGACCTGTCATTGGCCTATGATCGCGCCGGCGATGATCTGCACGCGTAGGTGTGGTTGAAGCTTAAGTATTTATTTATTAATGTAATTTCACAGTCGCTAGCGAACACAACGTAATATCATGGCAAGCAACAAAATCCTCTTTGTCAGCCCTGTTCTACAAAATCTTTAATTTGCTGAAATCAATACTATAAAAGTCTTTATCAACCTTTACTATATTTATCATCGGAAAATTATCCCTAATTTATTTTCCAAACAGACATTATTCGGGTTCTATATTGGCTCACATAAAATTCTAAATCCTATTCTTTGTCTTACTACCGATTTGTGTTCATAATAATCTCTCTTCATAATTTTATTTTTCATACTTTTTTTATTCATACATTTTTATTACTACCATCGGAGCTCATAACAGTTAGTAATCATAATTTTTTTATCAATACTGTCACTACTAAGAACCATTTAAAATACATAATTTTTATTTTCAGATCTTTTTTTTTCATAACATTCATTGATCATATTGTTTTAATTAATAATGTTGTTACTAAGAACATACTTCAACTCATAATGTTGTTGTTCAGAATAATTTACTTTATAACAGACATACTCGTATCTTTAAAAAAATCATATATAATTTAATAGAGTAGATAAGCATGCAGAGCATGCAGCATGCATTGGTATCTCCTCGTCTCCGGCGCTGCGGGATGTGCAGCCCTTCCGCCCTTGCGTAACGAGGCTCAGGCACCCACGCTTGCTTCCGCAGCTTCGGCTTTTTGGATCGCCATCGGCGCCTTCGGCGCCTCGGCGACCAGCCTCAGCCGCTCCAGCTCGCCCGGGCGCCTGAGCCTCGTTACAGCGGGCGAGGGCTGCCCTCCCTCCGCGCCTCCGGCTTTTAAATTACACTCTAGGGGTAGGGCAGACAAGACTACGTGGAGTCGGTTTTGCAGCGATTCGTTTCTGTCACGTTAGTTTTGTGGCACAAAATATTGCCTGTTTTGGACCATTTCAAATTAATTTAATGTTAAAATACGATTTAATACGAATATAGACATCATGATTTTCAATAATATGGATAAATACACTTATGAGTAATAAATTTATGAAAACAAATATTAGGATACATCACATTTATGAATATTATAGTTATTTATTCGAATGATTATGAGTTTCGATCATTAGTATAGAAAAATATATGAAAACAAATATTAGTAAAAACTAAGTGTATGATTAGTGATATTATGAATATCAATGATTATGTTTTTAAATATGTAGGTTTTAAATTTTTTATGAAGAATGATCATTATGGTATCAAATTGTATGAGAAATATTTTCGGACCTCCAATGATAGGAATTGAAAAGTTATGTAAGAAAATGCGCTACCCATTATTCGATATAATATCGTCTGATTTATCATTCTCCCCTTACAGAAGAATGATTGACTCCAAAAACATAGGATTTAATAAAAGAGATTGTTTTCCTCCCGGCAAATCGGAAAATACAGGATGTCCCAAAAAGTAGTGTCAAGCCGAAGCCCAGAAGTAAAGCATCACTAGGGCTACCCAAATCACCGCGACATTTGATAGTATAGATGTAATAATATTAAAAAACAGGCATATAGTGTAACTTAACTATTCGCGCCACAGTGACCAAAAAAGTGCCTAAGCACAGAAATTTAAATCAAACATAACTCGAAAACTATCAAAAATCGCAGAACATACATGGATGTTCTGCGATTTTTGATAGTTTTCGAGTGATGTTGATTTGGATAGCCCTAGTGATGCTCTACCTCACGGCTTCGGCTTGACACTACTTTTTGGAACACCCTGTATATCACGAAATACTTGCGACTTTCAAGATAATTGAAGTGGGGTTAGTTATTGACATAGTTTGTAAGTATAGTTTAATTATTTTATGCCAAATAATATCTCGCTAATAACTTCTCGTGGTAATGAAAACAATAATTAAAGGGCCGGTGATACAATAATTAGCTTCGTCCTTCGGTGATTGGCAATCGTTATTAATAAAAGCTTCCCAGTGATTCCAAAAGGGGCATTATAAATTGCTGATATTTATAAGTAGATGTTTATTCGGACCATTAAATTAAGTAACTAATACGGAAAATTTTAATGCTGGCTCTTTCCTTGCTTATATTCTTGGTATTGCTATCCTGCGAGGAAATGCAGCGCTTTTATTTTTGAGTAAACAATAAGTTTTATTTTTTTCTTTGTTTAGTGAAGTTTGTGCTTGTTGTAAAAATATGTTTATTAAACTTAGAAATATGCCATATCTATACTTATAATAAATCTGTAGAGAGGTCAATTCTGTTCATGAAATATATTTACAAAATAACTATCAGGGGGTGATTAGTGATCGATACTGATGCCAAAAATGCAATCAGTAAAATTTCTGTCTGTCTGTCTGTCTGTCTATCTGTCTGTCTGTATGTTCCTTATAGAAACAAAAACTACTCGACGGATTTTAACAAAACTTGGTACAATTATTCTTCATACTCCTGGGCAGGTTATAGTATACTTAGGAATTCCGAATTATAGGGAACGGGAATTAGCGGGAAAAGTTTTTTTGTATGAAAAATCTAAACCTAGACGTTAAGTTAGACGCTTGAAATTTGGCATGCAGATACCTTAGTAAACTTAGAGCTTAGTTACAACAGGATATTGAAAAAACATTTGTATGAAAAAATTTAAACCGCGTAAGATAGATGAAGGGGGTAAATTAGTATATTAGTGTGAGAACGTCAATCCCATAGAGGAAAGTAATACATTGGGTGTAATCCTCAGGACACATGCTTGCCACATCATTACTACGTGGACAATCTTGATTTTTTCCATTTACCGCTTGGAAGGTAGCAATCACAATTCACAATTAAATCCGTGGTAGCCAAAGAAAGTGATTTTTAGGGTTCCGTACCTCAAAAGGAAAAAACGGAACCCTTATAGGATCACTTTGTTGTCCGTCTGTCCGTCCGTCCGTCTGTCAAGACCCTTTTTCTCAGGAACGCGTGGAGGTATGAAGCTGAAATTTATATCAATTACTCAGGTCTACTGTCCCTTGAAGCTGTGAAAAAATCAAACTTCTAAGCCAACGCAATCAAAAGATACAGCCGTTTATGCCGCAAATTTTCGACACTTGCAAGGGAATCAAAACCTACAGGGTGCTTCCCGTGAACTCAGAATCTTGAAATTTGGTACGAAGCAACGTCTTATAGCATAGATAAAGGAAAAATTACGAAAACCATAAATTTTTAGTTACATCACATAATATATTTTTTTTTTAATAATTTTAAACTTACTACCCATTTCCTCATAAACGCGTAGAGGTATTAAATTGAAATTCATACCAAATACTCAGGTCTATAATACCTTTAAGCTGTAACAAAATCAAACTTCTATGTCAACGCAATCAAAAGAAACAGCAATTTAAGCTGCATATTTTGAAACTCGCAAGTACTCGCAAGGGAATCAAAACCTAAAGGGTACTTCCAGTCGACCTAGAATCTTGAAATTTGGCATGAAGCAACGAGGTTTGTAGTGTAAGCGTGGATGGGTTTAAGAAGCGCCGTACTATTGAGCACGTGTCTATAACTATTGATTTTTGGAGCGATATGTACGTGTTTTTGTGGAGTTCAAGTAATTTAAGAGCAGCACTGAGGGTTTTTGGGACTACGCCGGTAGACGAGATAACAATGGGAACAATTCTCACGATATCTTGGTGCCACATTTGTTTTATCTCAT